CTGGTTGGATTCCCGATCAGGGCACGTGGCTGGGCTGTGGGCCAGGTCCCCGGTTGTGGTGTGTGCGAGAGGCAACTGATCGATGTTTCTCTAACATGGGTGTTTTTCTCTCTCTCTTCCCCTCTCTCTGAAAATAAATTTTAAAATATTTTTTTAAAATAATGACCTGTTCTGCAGGACTAGGTGTGCACATACTAAGGAAGCGAGGGACATATAGCACCTGGTATGTACTGAGCACAGTGGTAGGTACTATGCCCAAATGATCTTATTTGACATTCACATCCCATCAGGGGGCACTTTACCGATTAGAAGCTGAAGATGAAAAATTAAAACTAGAACTACATGGGGGTGGCTCCCAGGGCCCCTGTGTTTCCCTGCTCTGCCTGATCCCTGACCAACCTGGGCTTCAGCCTGGGCTTGTCACTCCAGGAGCTACCACGTCTTCCGGCTTCGAAGGCCATGAGCAGAACTTTGTGGTGCTCACTGCAGAGACCTTTTTTAAGGGTCCCCCAGATCCTGTCTGCAAAGCAGGGTTAAGAGCCATGCTGCCTAGATTCAAATCCCAGCTCTGCCACTCAGAAGTTGTGACATTCAGAGATATTTGCTTGAAGCCAGAATCTCTGAACTTACACCCCACTCATCTCCCAAAGTCCCAGTTGGTTCTGAACAAGGTAGATGGTGTCTTTATGAGTCAGAGTGAGGGAACAAGAAGAGAGAGAACCAAGTTAGCATGCACCACAGATCTCTGCTGCCTCCGAGATTTTTAAAAAGATTTCTATTTATTTATTTTTAGAGAGAGGGGAAGGGAAGGAGAAAGAGGAGAGAGACAGCAGTATACAAGAGATACATCAGTCGGTTACCTCTGACATGTCCCCACCCAGAAACCTGGTCTGCACCCTAGGCATGTGCCCCGACTGGGAATTGGACTGGCAGCCCTTTGGTTCACAGGCCAGCGTTCAATCCGTTGAGCCACACCAGCCAGGGCTGCCTCAGAGATTCTTGTGGAGTTAGTGTGTCTGATGGCCTCACCTCATGATACACCACCTCTTCTGTTCTCAGTGCTTCCTTTCTCCACTGCCCACGATCGTCTTGCTTTTTCTTGTCATTATTATGGGAGACTACTGCCTTTAACTTCAGTTCCAGAGCCTCAGAATATCAGGATTTGTGGTTTCAGTAGGATATTTGTTAATTTTTCATTGTAATGGTTGTAACGGTAGAAAAAAATTTTTTTGTTTGGGCTGATTAGTTTTTTATGGGAAGCTGTGTTACAAAGTAACAAAGTCATCCTGGGAACAAACTTGTAAAAATTGTTTCCAAGAAAACAGCTTGTGTTACAAGTTATTTTTTTCTCGTCCTTATATTTTAATGTAACCATTCTGACCACATAGAAGGAAAATTTCAAATTAATTATCTTAAAAATAAAGGCTTGTTCTGGCTGATGTGACTCAGTAAGTTGAGTATTGTCCTACAAACTGAGAGGTCAACGGTTTGATTCCTGGTCAGGGTGCATACCTGGGTTGGGGGCCAGGTCCCCGATTGGGAATATGTGAAAGGCAAAATCTATTGGTGTATCCTATTGTACATTGATGTTTCCCTCCCTCTGTTTCTCCTTCCCTTCTCCTCTCTAAAAATAAAAGATTTTGTTTATTTAATTTTAGACAGAAGGGAAGGGAGGGAGAAAGAGAGGGAGAGAAACATCAGTATGTGGTTGCCTCTTACGTGCCCTGCGGTGGGGACCTGACGTGTAACCCAGGCATTTGCCCCGACTGGAATCCAACCAGCAACCCTTTGGTTCTCAGGCCCGCACTCGGTCCACGCAGAGGCATACCAGCCAGGGCAAAACCTTTTTTTAAATCTTAAAAAAAAAAAAAAGAAAGAAAGAAAATAGAAAAAAAGAAAGACTTGACTCTTTTGGTTGTAGTATAATGTAAAACCCAAACATAGCAGTTACATTAGAATTGAAAGGCGACTGTATAGTTGGCACTAGGAGAATGCTTCCCAATTTGAATATGTAAATACTAATAATTCTTTAAAATGCAGTGGTTTCCCTCTTAATAATTACTTATACTGGCTCACTTTATAATCTGTTGCTAATTCATAAACTTAAAAGTGTGAAAAATAGTCCCGACTGCTGTGGCTCACTGGGTTGAGTGTTATCCCATGAACCGCAGCGTCTCTGGTTTGATTCCCAGTCAGGGCACATGCCTGGGTTGTGGGCCAGGTCCCCTGGTTGGGGGCCTGCAGGAGGCAGAGAATCAATGTTTCTCTCCCTCTCCTCCCTTCCTTTTCCTCTCTCTCTAAAAGTAAATCAAATATTTTTTAAGAAGAGGAAAGAATATATGTATGCAATTATGTATTTCAGATATATGTCTGTGGACTAACAGAAGTTAATATAACAAGTACTGCTGAGTGGCTCAGTTTTATTTGTTTATTTTTAACTGACTGGGAACTGAAGCCACATCCTGGGCATGTGCCCTGACCAGGAATGGAACCAGTGACCTTTCTCTTTGTGGGATGTTGCTCAACCAACTGAGCCACACAGCTCTGGACTATGGGTTAAATTATATGATTACAAAATTATTAAAATTAATAAGGTGGTACCATAGACACTCCTGGTTGCAGAGTTCAGAGCAGAAGCAATCAGCTTGCCACTGTAGACTCTTCCAGTTGTAGACTTCGAACTAAAGCAGCCTAGAAAATTACCCTTATTTTTTTTTTGGCAAATTTTATTTATTTTTAAATGATTTTATTTATTTATTTTTAGAGAGAGGGGAAGGGAAGGAGAATGAGAGGGAGAGAATCATCAGCGTGTGGTTGTCTCTTGAGTGCCCCCCACTGGGGACCTGGCCTGCAACCCAGGCATGTGCCTTGACTGGGAATCAAGCTAGCGACCCTTTGGTTCACAGGTGCACGCTTGATACACTGAGCTACACCAGCCAGGGTGAAATGACCCTTATAATATATGGAACCTATGGCCCGGCAGCCTTGCCCAAATCTCTGGTACAAGAATCCTGACTATCACCCGTCCTCTGTTCCGGGGGCAGGATTCAGAAATGAAAATCTTTATTTTCCGTACTCAGTGGTGCCCAGTGAGCATCCGGACGGCCTTGTATCTCAGTCCCCTTTGCCCACTACACCTAACCAGATATTTATATTCCCTGTGTGTTGTAATCCAGCACAATTCTGGCACTATAGTGGCTGTGGGGGAAACATCAGAACAAAATGGACTCAAACTGAATTTCAGCAGATGCAGCACAGCGGGATTTTACAAAGTTCCTATGAAAGTTAGGGGTGTACTTGACGTTCCTCAGGAGGCCAACAACCCTCAGAAGAATGCTTCATGGAGAAAGTATAAGAAAAAGAAGTGGGAGAGAGGATAGCTACCCCAAGGGGGCCATTCTCTCTGTTGCCTGGTGGATCTGGTTTAACAAAGTCGATGAAACCATCTAGGGTGATGTGAGCTGGTCGCAGGATGCAGAGATGGAGATGTCCCCTGAGCAAGTGCCCTTGGTAATGAAAAGTCATCACCACACTGTGCAACAGAGGAATCAAGAAAGAAGTTCAGGAATAGGAAATGAAACCAGGCCCACAGTGTATTCTTGTATCACAAGACAGTGCATTTTAACAAAAATGCTACCTTGAACATTGTGCTTCCTGATGATTCAGAGAACTGTGAGTTGGAAGACAAGTGTGTAAGGTAGAATCATTCTGTGAAGAACTTAGTAGTCTGAGTTCTAAAGAAAGGTTTTTTTTTTCACGAGGCATGCAGAGCAACTAGGTTGTCAGGGCGCTCTCTCTATCCCCAGCTTGTCTGGCCCAGCAGCAATAAAAACGGCAACAAGAAGTTCGCTGAATATGAGAACACCCCTTTGATTAGCATGTTGAAGAGATGGGAGGACTGTGAAATCATTTTATAACAAGCTTCAAACAGAACATACCATGGCCCAGCAGGAGCAACTGGAGTCCAAAGAGCATCCCAGGAGATGTTGAATGAAACAAATTACTGAGTTCCAGCTACAAAGAACAACTACATGTAGCATCATCACAATGGGCTCTAACATGAATGTCTTGATTTGAACTAATAAAGCTGTCATACCAACAAAGAGGCTAAGCCTTTGGAATTATAAATTGTAAAAGTAAATTAAGTAAATTGCAAAAAATTGTTTTAATAATAGGGCATTAGTGATAGATGATGCCTATTCCTTATAAATGTAAGTAAATGAAGGTTAATAATCTGTGGTCTGAGAGAGACCACCTAGTGATAGAAGACTTCAAGCTATCCAAGGTCCGTGGCATGTATGTTAAAGTAGCAGCCTGACTCTTCTCTGTTTCGGGAAATGTCAGGGTATGTGTGGGATTGGGGGAAGCTTTCAAAGAGGACTTTAAGGTAGATATCATTAAATATGGTCTATATGGTATTCACATATAATCTACATTTTAAAGAAAAAACCATTGCCAAAACTTTTTTCTTTGTGCTTTCGTACTGTTTTCATCATCTTTACAGTTGGTGCCAACATCCCCAACCCCTTTCTATACCTTAAACCAGTTCTCTCCTCTATTATTCTGTTAATGTTATAATCAAGTCTCCTAACCACCCTATTAAAAACTTTACAGCAACTTTGACTTTTCCGGTACCTTCTCCACATCTAATTCCTTAGCAGGCCCACCAGGTGCTACCTCCTCCCGCCACTTCCTTCCTGGTCACTGTGTTTTCACGTTCTTACCAGCCCTCTGGCACGGATTGTTGCTACAGCTTCATAACTGGCTTCCTCGCTGTCAGCTCTGTCAGTGTCTGCCTTCTCAATTGTCCCATTCATCTCTCCCAGGTTAATTTTTCTAAATCATAGCTGTCACCAGCTACTTAATAAGTCTAAACTCCTCAGCCCAAGTCGAAAACTATTCATGATATGATCTTGCCCCCCTTCTCTGATGTTACTGGTCGAGGTCTGCCATACAAGTGTTGGGGAGTCAGAAAGAGGTGTTCAGGCATCTTAAGATAGGCAAACTTGTCTCTTCTTTGTTTTATGCATGTCATCCTTGAGCGGGGGACATGCTAATCTTCTCTGTACTGTTCCAGTTTTAGGATATGTGCTGCTGAAGTGAGCGCTGTTTTCTTGAATATGTTGAATTTCCTTGTGTGTGTGCATGAATCTTGACCCGTGCTTGGCCATGTCAGATGACAGTTCAGTTACCTCTTTCCCTGATGACCACTGAAAAATGCAGTCTGCCGTGGGTTGGTTTTTCTCCACTTTTTAAGTCTCCGTCTAGTAGTTACTCTAAATATAGATATCCTAAAAATAAAGACAGAGATAGAAAGGATTGTCTTAAGTAGACCTATCACCACTTATTATCTGGTGTCAAATGACTTATCCAAGGAGCAAAACAGATAGTCCCTACCTATACAGAATGCACATTCTAGTGAGGGAAACATAATAAAAACATTTGCTATATAATATAAATCATATGTAATGATTTATTTTTATATATAAATATAAATTTTACATATGTATTACACATAAATTATATATAATACTGATGGGTGCTGTGGAAAAAATCAAAGAAAAGCGGAGAAAAAAGATACTGAGTTTTCGTAGGGATGAGGTTAGAGTGGGTGGTAATTTTAAATATTAGAGCCAAGAAAGGTCACCCTGAAAAGGTGATATTTGTGTAAATATTTGGAGGTGGGGAGAGGAGGAGGAAGTTACACGGGATATGTAAGGAGAAAGTCGCACAGGCAGAAGGAACAGCATGTGCACAGGCCCTGAGGGAGCATGCCTGGTATTTGTGAGGGACGAAGCAGCCAGTGTGACTAAAGGGAGTCCTAGGAGTTGAGGTCAGAGATATAACAGGACACCAGTAGACCGTTGTAAGAATTTCTGTAAGTAATATGCACAGCCATGCAGAGGTTTTGGGACAAGAAGCGACAAGACTTGTTTTAGGTTTTAAAGAATTGCTTTGGCTGCCATATTGAGAATAGACAGAAGGGGGCAAGAGAGAGCAGGGAGACTAGGAAATTAATTAAGGTTTATGGACTGAGGATGGAATGGATATTTCATGAAATGAAGGAAGGCTTCAGGACTAGCATGTTTGCAGAGGAAGATGGGGAATTTAGTTTTGAATATGACACATAGATGTCAATTAGATATACAAATATTGAAAATATGAATCAATAGAGTTGGGGAGTAGGTAGGGAGGACTGGAGATTGGGAGTCATGAACATTTATTTAGATGGTATTTAAAACTATGAGGTTGGCTAAGATCTCAGAATTTTACTATAGAAGAGACCCATAGACTGAGCCCTGGGATACTGTAACATCTGTAGGTTGGGCTGTTGAGTAGTTAACCAGATGAGTAGATGGAGAAGAAATACTTGGATGTTTAAATCACTAGACTTGTCAGTTATTATCTATATATCAACTTTTCATTCTGGATCTGGATTGGGTTTTGGAGTTTGGGCCATTAAGTGATAAATGAAGCCTGTAAGGTGCATCTCATTGGGATGGAAATGGATGAGGGGAGGTGTACCAGTACAGCATATAGAACGGGGTGGGGGGGAAGAAGCACGTGTTAGCACTAGGAACTGAGGCTGTTTGTCTAGTTATGTAATATGAAAGTATAGGCCAAGATGGAGGCGTAGGTGGGAATACTTTGCGTCCTTGCACAACCAAATCTAAAAATAATAAAGTTTTAACAACAATAAATGCAACCAAACCACACAGAAAATCAACAATACGGAGTCCGAAAACAACGAACCTCTCAGCTAAACCAGTGAGAGGGGTGAAGCCAGCAGCGGAGCGGGTCAGGCAAAAAAGATCCCCCAACGCCAGCGGTGCACAGGCAGCCAAGGGCGTGGATCCCAGTTGCGGGCTAGCAACAGGCAGAACCCAGGGAAGAGGCGCGGCTGTCTGTCTGCAGTTGGTCGGGCATTTGCACGAAGATAAACCAGTGAAGAGGCCAACATTGAGACAGATCGTGCAGGCCCTGGTGGTCGGCGCAGGACTGCGGCCCCACACATTTGCGCTTGGATAAGCAGGCGGGGGTGAGCAGTGAGGTGGACTGGTTGAGCGGAAAGGACTGCCATTGCTCTCTCTCTGACCCCACCCCCACATACAGTGTCATAAACCAGTGACCTGGGTGGCCCCGCCCTGGTAAACAACTAAGGCGCCTCTCCTCATACCTAACAGGTGCCAACAGATGAAAATATGTCTCAAGAACAACTCAGAGCCCCAGAGCCAATAAATCTAAGCGATGAAGAAATAGCCAAACTTTCAGATGCACAGTTCAAAACTGGTGATCAGGATGCTCACAGAACTGGTTGATTTTAGTCACAAATTAGAGAAACATATGAAGGCTAAACTAATTGAAATAAATGGTAATGCACAGGAAACCAATAGTAATGGAAAGGAAACTGGGACCCAAATCAAGGGAGCAGACCAAAAGGAAGGAAAAAATGACCAAACAGAAAAATATGAAGAAACAAGAATTCAAAAAAGTGAGGAGAGGCTTAGGAACCTCCAGGACATCTTCAAATGCTCCAACATCCGAATTATAGGGGTACCAGAAGGGGAAGAGGAACAGTTACAAGTGGAAACCTTATTTGAACAAATAATAAAAGAGAACTTCCCCATTCTGGCAAAGGAAATAGACTTCCAGGAAATCCAGGAAGCTCAGAGAGTCCCAAAGAAGTAGGACCCAAGAAGGAACACACTAAGGCACATCATCATTATTTATATTAGCCAAGATTAAAATGAAGGAGAGAATCCTAGAAGCAGCAAGAGATAAGGGGGCAGTCACCTACAAAGGAGCTCCCATCAGACTGTCAGCTGATTTCTCAAAAGAGACCTTACAGGCAAGAAAGGGCTGGAAAGAGGTATTCCAAGTCATGAAATCCAAAGACCTACAACCAAGATTGCTCTATCCAGCAAAGCTTTCATTTAGAATGGAAGGACAGATAAAGTGCTTCTCAGATAAGATCAAATTCAAGGAGTCCATCATCACCAAGCCCTTATTATATGAAATGTTCAAGGGACTTACCTAAGAAAAAGAAGATAAAAAAGATGAACAGTGAAAGGACAGCAAATTCACAGTTATTAACAACCACACCTAAAACAAAAGCAAACTAAGAGGACAGCTAGATCAGGAGCAGAACCATAGAAATGAAGATCACATGGAGGGTTAGCAACAGGGGAGTGGGAGAAGGAGAAGGGGGAGAAGGTACAGAAAATAAGTAGCATAGACGGTAGATAGAAAATAGATAGGGGGAGGGTAAGAATAGTATGGGAAATACAGAATCTAAAGAACTTGAGACACGTGTTCATGAACTAAAGGGGGGGATGGTGGGGGGGGTGTGCAGGGTGGAGGGGAACGGGGGGAATAGAACACATGTAATGGCATAATCAATAAAATAAAACAAACAAAAAATTGTGAGTTTGCTGTCATTTTACTATACATGTTTTTATCTTTTTTTTTAAAGATAAATCCCTTTAACATTTCCCTTATTAATAATAAGAACTTGGTGATGATGAACTCCTTGTCCTTATCTGAGAAGCACTTTATCTGCCCTTCCATTCTAAATGAAAACTTTGCTGGGTAGAGTAATCTTGGATGTAGGTCCTTGCCTCTCATGACTTGGAATACTTCTTTCCAGCCTCTTCTTGCCTGTAAGGTCTCTTTTGAGAAATCAGCTGACAGTCTGATGGGAATGCCTTTGCAGGTAACTGTCTCCTTTTCTCTTGCTGCTTCTAGGATTCTTCCCTTAATTTTAATCTTGGGTAGTCTAATTAGGATGTGCCTTGGTGTATTCTTCCTTGGGTCTAACTTCTTTGGGACTCTCTGAGCTTCTTGGACTTCCTGGAAGTCTATTTCCTTTGCCAGATTGAGAAAGTTCTCCTTCATTGTTTGTTTAAGTAATTTTTTCCTCTTCCTCTTCCTCTTCCCCTTCTGGCACCCCTATGATTCAGATGTTGGAACGTTTAACGATGTTCTGGAGGTTCCTAAGCCTCTTATTTTTTTGAATTCTTATTTCTTCATTCTTTTCTGGTTAGATGTTTCTTTATTCCTTCTGGTTCATGCTGTTGATCTGAGCCCCAGTTTCCTTCCCATTAGTATTGGTTCCCTGTACATTTTCCTTTATCTCACTTAGTGTAGCCTTCATTTTTTCATTTAATTTGCGATCAAATTCAACCAATTTTGTAAGCATCCTAATTACCAGTGTTTTGAACTGCGCATCTGATAGGTTGGCTATCTCTTCATCACTTAGTTGTGATTTTTCTGGAGCTTTATCTGTTCTTTCATTTGGACCATTTTTAAAATTTGTCTTGATGCACCTGTTACGTAGTGAGGAGCAGAGCCTTAGGTATTCACCTGGGCAGGGCAACCCGCTTTGCTGCGTTGTGATGCTGTTTGTAGGGAACGGGGCCAAGAGGGAACAAAGACACTTGCTCCACTCTTTGCCAGATATCGGTCACTTCCCCCACTACCCTCAAGCAAAATAAGCCCTTCTGGTGCTGATTCCCAGATGGGTGTGTATATGTACGTTCTAGGACCCTGTGGGTCTCCGCAATGAACTTTCCTGTGCGGCTGGGAGTCTCTCCCTCTGCCGCGTCAACCTCCACAGATGTTTTCAATCAGTGGTTTGAGGCTTTATTTCCCTGCAGTGGGGTCCTGGGTTGCGCAGTCTGTCCTGCTCCCCAGTTGTTTCTCCTCATTAATCTGGATGCAAATGTGGGACCGCCCAGTCCACAATCCACCACCTCTCTGTATCCACCAGCCACAGCCTTGCCTCCAGTCCTCTCTGCCCCACTGCTGGTCTCCACCCCTCCTACTGGTCTGGGTGAATGTTGCTTCTTTAACTCCTTGATTGTTGGACTTCCATACAGTTTGATTTTCTGTCAGTTCTGGTTGTTTTTTGTTTTTAAATTGTTGTTGTCCTTCTTCTGGTTGTGCAAGGAGGCACAGTGTGTCTACCTAAGCCTCTGTCTTGGCCAGAAGTTCACATTTTATTTGTTAATAGTTAATTATTTATTGTATTTTTTTCATTACCATTTATCCCCCTCCTTTCTTTGGAGTCCTACAAATTATATCAACGCTTTCTGCCTTGTCAGGCTTTTTCGAATCTGTGCCTTCTACTTAACTCTCAAATTCCACCGAGCTTCACCCCCCACAATCACCACATTGTCCATGTCTGTGAGTTCTTTTTCTTTTTTGCTCCTGCACCTCTCCAAATGTTAGACGTGCAAAATATAATGATATTATTATATGGGTCTGTATTTTCTGGTAGAAATTGAAAATTTGGAATGTGAAGGGAAATAAACGTGAAGTCTGAACTAAGTATTAGTGAGGAAATATGGCTAGAAACAACTTGCAGAGGCTTAGACATAAAAAGAAGAGACCAGTGTCCAGTAATTAAGAAGGTTGGAGTAAATGTGGTGGAAAATAATAGATAATTTCTGGGACTATAAAAGTTCAGAACAACTTTGGTCACAAAGACTAGGAGTAAATTTTGATCATGCTGGAACTGATGAGAAACTCATGGTAAGAGACTAGTGCCCAAAGGGGGTGGTTAAGAAATCGCATCTTGGAATACAGTGGGCGGTGGACAGATTCCAGTTCCTAAGACTTTAGGGCAGAGGCTTGGGATTGGCGAGGAGTAATGCAATTTGTAGGGCTCCAAAGAAAGAATAATCTGCTCCAGCAATATTTCTTTGGAAAAGGTGGTAGAGGTGGAGTGAAAGCTTGGTAGGGAGTTAGGGCAGAAATTGAAGTGTAGTGAGAAGTTCTCTGAGAAGGCAGGGATGATTTGGTGGAAGATAGTGCAATTTCAGAGGTTCATGGAAACAGTCAAGAACCAAAGGTTGGTTCTGGAAAGGGTTCGTCTTAGGAAACTCAGAAGACAGCCCGTTGGGCAGTTGTAAATTGATGGTCAATACAGGTCAATGGGCAAGGAACAGCTTTCTCGGTTGGTGGGCTAGGCAGGGACTTTCCCGCTGGCTGCGCTTCACCTCTTAGGTCTGAACAGAAGAGGCCTGGAAAGAGAAGCCCACTGCAGGCACGGGAGGCAGGCTGCATGGGCTGCAGGCTGCATGGGCGAGCTGTCCAGCTCCAAGCCCCGCCCCTCGTTTACGCCATCAGCCCGCGCCGCACTGCAGGTTGTAGCTCCGCCCCGCCCGCGCGGCTGTCTGTGCTGTGTAAGCACTTGCGATGGCTATAGCTCTCTAGCTAGTTGAAGACTGAAGCTCCCCTCGCGGCCCTGGTCCTGATGGCGGCGGCGGCAGCCCTAGCAGCGGCCGGCGCCCCTCCTGTCATTCCGCAGGCGGCCGGAGCCGGAGGGCCAAGTGCCCGCCGAGACTTCTACTGGCTTCGCTCCTTCCTGGCCGGAGGTGGGTGTCTGCCGGAGGGACCTGGCCACGCCCGAGATGGGGTGTGGTGCACCCTGGGGCAGGGTGAATGCGGCCGCGAGGACATTCTTGAACAGTGGCTACTTCAGTGTCCTGTCATGTGTTTGTCCTGACGTGCTGTCACCTTTTCCTGATAATCATTTAACCAGTGACAGCAGGATCCTGGGGAGGAGGGCCCTGGAGCTGCTGTGGAGCCGCTGGGGAGGTGGAAGTGCTAGACCAGGCACCCATTCTTCAGGGTTGGATGGGAAAATAGGGGAGTCTTTTACAAAGGTCCGAGGTGTTTCAGTAAAACATGCTGTGCTTTCCTTTCTTTTATAAAGACCATAGGTGGCCGAATGTAGAATTGGACTTTGTTGTTTGCTTAAGAGAAAACAAATAGCTTTTAAAACATGATTGGAAAATTGTGCAAACTGTCAACAAGCAAAACTGATTCCAACAATTCCAGTAAACTCTGCCACAGTTGCTCACAATTACTTGACAGGTAGCTGGTGCAGCCCTGTCGTTGGTGTGACTGTAGGACCAGAAGGTTCATGTTGTCTGTCAGAAATTTGCTCTGCCTTTCCACGAAGAGGTGTTTTGGTCTCTACTCTTTCTTAATTGGTTGTGCGGGTTGTCTTCACTTATTTAAGACTAGGAATTTAAAAACTTCCTATAGAAAGATAATGTCTCTATGCTGCAGTAGTATTAAAAGTTTGTTCTGATAGAAAGGACATTCATTTATTTATACAGGAACATTTGAGTGCCTGCTATGTACCTCCTACATGTTCAGTGTACCTCAGGGAACAAAACAATATCCTGGAGTTTACATTAGTTGTGGAGAAAGACAATAAACACAATGAAAAGCTAAGTTATAGAGTTTGTTACAAAGTGATGAATCCAATGGGAAGAAGTAAAAACAAGAATGGGACGAGGAAATGGAGAGGCTAAGTGGGTGCATATTAAATAAGATAGCTGTGATAACTCTCATTCAAAGGATGACACTTGAACAGACTTGAAGAAGTGAGGGAGTTTAGCAATTTGATGGCTAAGAAGGAGCATTTCAGGAGAGAAAAGCTAAAGCAAAGGCTTCAAAGTAGGAGTGGGCCTCTGTTCAAAGAACAGCAGTGGCTGCAGCCAAGAGGAGTTGATGGGAGAGGGAGGTTAGAGACATACAGGGTGCAATTGGAGGGCCTTCCATACCATTGTGAAGATTCTGACTTTTACTTGGAATGAAGTTGGGAGTCATTGCAGGTCTTGAGCAGAGAAGTGACGTAGGACATTTCAAAAGTATCACTTTGGCTTCCCGTTGAGAGTAACTGTAGGAAAGTAAATATGGAAGCTAGGAGACTAGTTTGGAGGTTATTGCAGTAATTCACATGATAAATAGTGGCCTGGGTCAGGTGAGTAACAGGAGAAATGGTGAAAAATTGTGATAATCTGGATACAGATAGAATGAATAGGACTGTCTAACAGGTTAGAGGGGGTAAGTGAGTCAAGAATGACTAACTCATGGTCTGAGCAGCTGAAAGGTTGAAACACTGGCTGAAATGGGAAGGCTGTCGTTGAATCAATTTTCATGGTGGTTGCAGGTGGAGGGGAGATGAGGAGTTCAGTTTTGGAAATGTTTCATTTTGTGATATTGATTAGACGTTAAACCAGAATCATGGTACATGTTGCTGGGGATAGCAACCAGGTCTCTTTATGTGCTACTGGTAGTAATGTAAATTGGTACAGCTGCTTTGGAGAACTAGTTGGGAAGTTATCTGTGAAGCTGAACATTTGTATGTCATGTGATCCAGTAGTTCCACTCCTAGGTTTATCTTAACATATATATTTCTGTTCACGTCTACAGTATTCATGATAGTCCCAAATCAGAAGCAATCCAAATGCCCATCAGTGTTATAACATATTACCAAAATATGGTGTAATCATACAGTGAAATACTATGCAGCATTGAAAAAATGAATAAATTTCTGCCACATGCAACAGTGTTGATGAATCTCACAAGCTCAATATTGAACAGAAGAAACCAGGCACAAAGCAAGCCATGCTGTGTGATTTTATTTATGTAAGGTTAAAAAAAAACAATCAAAACTAAGTCCGTGTTGTTAGAAGTCAGAAAGCTGATTGGTTATCTCTGAGAAGGAGGGGCAAAGAGTGATTATGGGGGTACAGAAAAGACTTCTGGGAGGCTGGTAGTTTCATTTTTTGATTCGAGTGGTCCTTATGTGACTATTCACCATTCATTAAGTGACATACAATTTGTGCACTTTTTTCTATATATCTAACAGTTAATACTTAAAATCTCTTAAAAGGAGGAAAAGAATTGCAGATAGCAAGTATCAGAAACTCTGCAAAGGAATCTTGATTAGGCTTTGTATTTTTTAGAAGCTTGCATGGTTTTTGTTTTCTTTTTACGTAGTTTTCTTTCTTTTAAAATCAGGTTTATTAAGGTATAATTTATATACAGTAAAATTCACCCTTAATTTAAATTCATTTTCTACTTACTATATTTTCAGTTTACAGTGGGTTTATCAGTATGTAACGCCATCATAAATCAAGGAGCATTTGTACATATAAGGTACTTTAGAAAAGTGTATTAGTTCATGTGGGCTACTATAACAAAAATGCCATAATTTGATGGCTTAGAAACAACAAACATTTATTTCTCATAGTTCTAGAAGCTGGAAAATCCAAGATCATGGTGCCATCAGATTCAGTGTCAAATGAGGACCTTCTTCTTTATAGACAGCAAATTCTTACTGTGTTTTCACAGGTTAGGGGTACCTGGGGCCTCGTTCATAAGGTCACTAATCCCACAGTTAGTTGAATAGTTGAATCATATTGCATTTTATATAAATAAAGATGCAGAGCCCTCTGGACATAATCACCCCCTAAAAGCCCTACCTCTAAATGCCATCAAATTGGGAATTAGTTTTCAACATGAAATTTTGGGGGGTGGGACACAAACAACATAGCAAAAGAATCTATATATCTTAGAAGCATGCCAAGCCTAGTAGGCCTGGCCTATATGTATGTATCCACTTTTGCACTGTGCTGTCATCTGCATGTCTGCAGGGTTGCATGTGGTAGGGACCACGTACATAATTGCTGAATATATGAAAGAATGATTGAATTTTATGGGTAAAAGTTGGTTATTTCAATGCAAAGGTTGCACTGAAGAGGAGGAGGTTTCTTCAAACAGTGCCTTACAGTTGAGTAAATACCTTTCAAGTGTCTCCATAACCACTTTTAGCAAGATTCCCAGTATTGGTCAGGTATTAGGGTTCAGATTCACACTCTTCAAACTTATTTTTAGGTATAACATGCCAATTAGTAAGTTACAGAGAATGAGGGGCAATGATCTGCACATCACTTCTACTGGGTAGTTACACTCATGGAGACCAAATTAAAGATCAGAGAGTATGTGTTGGCTGAACAAATAATGGTTTTCATCCGGAAAGAAATGGTATACAACATCTCCCTGACTTCTTAAAATTTTTTAGGTATTGCGGGATGCTGTGCTAAAACAACAGTTGCTCCTTTGGATCGAGTAAAGGTTTTATTACAAGCTCACAATCATCATTATAAACATTTAGGTGAGTTAATAGATGCTAAAGATTAAAATGAATGAAAACATCCATCTGTGGCTTGGTTTCCATTTGTGAATTACAGTGGAAGGGAGATACAAAAGGGAATTCAAATTTGGTGGCAGATTTTACAAGGACTAGATTTCTGTTATTCATTTTAATATTTTCATTTACCATAGTTTTTATAATTGTTTTAGGGTACTGATATCCTCTAAACCAAAATCTTTGAATCATTGAAGTACTACTGGTTGCTTATTGGGATTAATGTGTCACATCCTTGACAGACACACATTAATAGCTCAGTTGGATTTTGTTATTTAAGAATCCAATCAGACCCTGGCTAGTGTGGCTTAGTTGGTTTAGCATCGTCCACAAACTGAAAGGTCGGTGGTTCCATTCATTCCTGCCTGGCACATGCCTGGGTTACAGACCAGGTCCCCAGTAGGGGGTGCGAGAGAGGCAACCACATAGTGATGCTTCTCTCCCCTTTCTACTTCCCTTTCCTTCTCTAAAAATAAATAAATAAAATCTTTAACAAAAGTTTTAAAAGAATATTAATTGACTAGGGATGAAGGTCATAATGTTTTAGTTAATTTTAAAATATTACAAAATAGTGGAATTATTTGCATTTTATATAAATAAACGTGTTTAGACAAAAGACTGGAAAGACAAACATTAACATTAGTGGTTAATACTCATTGGTGAGATTAGAGGAAATATTTTCCCTCTAAGCTAATTTGTAACACATGTTGAACAAACATGTATTACTTTTTCAATTAGAAGGGAAAAGAGTTTTTAAAAAAAATTTAATGTGTTTCCTTGGTGGAGTAGGGAAGTTGGATAGAGTATTATCCTGATATGCCAAGGTTGCGGGTTCTGTACCTAGTCAGGGGTACATATAAGAAGCAGCCAGTGAATGCATAAATAAGTGGAACAGCAAATCAATGTTCATGACTTCTCTTTCTCTCTTTCTCTCTCCTCCTTTCCCTCTCTCCCCTTCTTTTCTCTCTCAATTAAAAAAAAAATTATTGTGGACAGAGAGACCAAGAAAGAAATTAGGTCAAGGCAACCAAGTCATACCACTTCATTGCTTTAGTTTCCTGCTTCAAAAGATAGGAACAATGAGTGCTCTGCTTGATCTATGCAACTATGCAACATCGGTGTAGAAGAAAGATGATGAACAGAGTAGATAAGAATTATTTTTTCAATTGGATATTTAAAATGTGATTTTCCTGCCCTGGCTGGTGTAGCTTAGTGGATTGAGTGCACATGCCTGCGAACCAGAGGATAGCGGTTCGATTCCCAGTTGCAGCACATGTCTGGGTTGCAGGCCAGTTCCCAGCAGGGGGCGCATGAGGGGCAACCATACATTGATATTTCTCCCTCTCTCCTTCCCTTCCCCTCTAAAGATAAATGAAAAATCTCTTTTAAAAATGTGATTTCCTTAAAAAAAGTGTAATGGCTGTTTATATTTTACATTAATTGCAGCTCGCTTTGTTGTCAATATTCTTAACACTAAGTCCGTACTTTAAAATTGAAAAACAAAAGTTACCATCTCTATGTCCAGCAATAAATTCTGTATGTTCACAATGTGCTCTTCATGTATAGAAATAATCGGACTTTTGAATTTATTAAGAGATTATATAAAACTGGAAATGAAGGAAATTACTTTGTTATGTAAATTGAGGGTGAAAGGGACATGAATTAGCCCTGGCTGGTGTAGCTCAGTGGACTGAGTGCAAGCCTGCAAACCAAAGGATTCTGGTTGGATTCCCAGTCAGGGCACATGCCTGGGTTGCGGGCCAGTTGCCAGTAGGGGACTCACGAGAGGCAACCATACATTCATATTTCTCTCCTTCTCTCCGTCCCTTTCTCTCTAAAAATAAATAAATAAAATCTTAAAAAAAAAAAGGGACATGAATTATATTACCCAGTATCTTGGAGTGTTTTACAATGACCCAACAGACCAATAACTGAGTTGGATTGTTTTAGTCCTTTAACCTGTTCCCTATGGTGATCTGTGTTGTTTTGTTTACTGATTTGTAATTATTCGGTTACCTATTCACGTTAGATTTCACCCTCTACAGGGCTGCGTACCATGGGTTACAGTGTACCCTATAAAGGCATGCAAAACTTGAAATGGAATTCCTGCAAGTGGTGTAGTATATGGAATTCCATGTATCTTAAAATATACAAGCTGTAAAAAAAAAAAGGTATTTTTTAAATTTTCTCTAAAATGTTTTTTGGCATTTTATTCTAGATACCTCCTTTTTAATATATATGCATAAATATTTTTAAAATTCTGGTTTTTTAAAGCATGAATTTTCACAGTCAAATAAAACATGAAGATGTGCTATTGAATAAAATTTCTACTTTAGCTTCTTTTTAAAAATGTGTGAACCATCCTTTCCTTGAGGTTGTGCTACTGTTCTCTGAGCCTGTTGTGAGAGCGGCACATCTAGTGACTAAACAGCACACTCATGTCGACTAGAGCTCTGCTTTACTTTGGTGTGGTTTTTGGAAAAAAGAGAAAAAAACAAATAATGTGTGACATTACTTCCAAAGCATCAAAAACTACTTTTTATTTTTGAATCAAATGAAAAGTAAGGAGTATGGTAATTAGAACTTCCCTTTCCCCCCACTTGCAGTTTGTGTCAAGAATTTTTTCCTGTAGTATATTATAAATCTTTGACCTTCATTTGGCTTTTTCCAGTCAAATGTGATATAAAAATAGGTAGATGAATCATAAGAGGATTCTTTAAAAATTTTTTAATTTTGCTCCTTTTACACTTTATCTAAAAAATTTTTTGAATGCATATTTTTATAAGTTCATTATTCAGAAAAGTACAAAAGCAAAATGTCATTTTCTGTCCCTATTACCTGTTTGGAATCAAGCATTTTTCCAAGTTTCTTCCATTTTCTTTTAGCTGATGTGTACATAGACAAGCATATGCTTATATTTTACCAAATGTTCTTTCTAATCCTAGCTTGATATTAAGTGAAGATACAGAGAAGGATTTAAATAACACACAAGCTTGATATGTAGATATACTGAGGATTTTGCACCCTACAGGGAATACACATTTTTTCCCAAACAATTTTATAACATTTTCAAAAATTGGTCCAGTATTATGTCTTACAGAAAATCTCTGAAATAACTATGCATGTTGTCAGATTGGTACTAGACTTATTGTGGTGATCACTTCATAAATTATATTAATGTCTAATCACTATGTTGTACACCTGAAACTAATATAATATTGTGTGTCAACTGTAGTTGAAAAAATTTAAAAATATTAAAAACAAATTTCAGCCCTGGCTGGATTACTCAGTTGGTTGGAATGTCAGCCCGTATACCAAAAGGTCGTGGGTTGGTACCTCAGTCAGGGCACATACCTAGGTTGTGGGTTTGATCCTGGGTTGGGGGCATGTGCAGGAGGCAACCAATCAGTGTTTCTCTCTTGCTATCTCTCCCCACCTCTGCCGCCCCCAGCCTTTCCTCTCTCTCTAAAATCAGTGAACATACCCTTGGTAAGGATTTAAAAAAAATAAAAGAACGAAAGAAAATTTCAGTTAATTTCCCAAAGTGAAAACAGATTGTAGGTTGAAGGAAAAAAAAATACAATTATCTCAGTAGATATTTTAAGCCGTTTGAAAACATTCAACATCCATTTTTCATGTCTGTTGAATGAAAAATGTTGTCTTAGTTAATTTGTTTTAGGTGAGATTTTTGTAAAAAGCATCTCGGTAAATATGGCCTTTTAATAGAATTTGAGAATCTTGGCTTTAAAAAAATTTTTCCCCCTTTTATCAATTCCAGAGGGAGAGGAAGGGAGGGAGAAAGCAAGGGAGAGAGACATCAATTTGGGAGAGAAACACCAATTGGTTGCCTCTTGCACCTGCCCCAACTGGGGACCCAACCTGGAACCCCCAATCATGTGACCCAACTGGGAATTGAACCTGTGACCTTTCAGTCTGCAGGGCAATGCCCAGTCCACTGAGCCACACCTGCCAGGGTGAGAGTCTTTGGCTTTTCACAGATGACTTTGTCCTTCAGCTTTTCTTTTTTGCTATCATTGAATTATTCACTCACATTCTTATTTTATATTTTATGTTTATTGTGCCTTTTTTTGTCATCTCTGGTTCCCCTCTGTAGGTTTTTCTTTTTAGATTTCCTTTTTTTTTTTTTAAAGCACTATATCTTTTTTGCCTATACTAACAGTTTTTCTTAAAATGTTTCCAGTAGTCAGAAAGTTTTAAAGAATAATACAGGGTCCAGAACAAATAATGCCCCTTTGTTGCTATAAAATCTTTTATTATAAAACATAAACGTGTAATTCTGTAGTATAACAATATTGCACTCAAGCACACCATGTAACATTTTAGGTGAAATGTTGAAATTAAAACTATAAATGATTACACCCACATTATTACTACCAACCACACTCAAGCAAACCTTATTTCTTCCAGACCTTGTATAATAAACATGTGGAGTCGGTGCTTCAAAATAAGCATTATCAGTACAATTGAAACTTCCTCTGTACTTCCCCTTCGTCATCATCATCCTTCCTGTCTCTACTAGATAGTCATGTTTCTAAATTTAATTACCCTTAAATTGTTACTAACACATTCGAATAAAATTAAACAGGACTTAACTCTTGCTCCCTCTTCCTACAAGGGGACACCATCTTCAATAGGATTTCCTTTCTAGGTGTGTGTGTGAATATATTTAGTTTTTTTATTCATGCATTTTGGGAGAATTTTATATATTATGCACATAGCCATATGTCAACATAATAGAATTCTTTTTACCAGACTGTTAGTCCATTGAGATACTTGCTTATTTAAAATGTTTTTATTACCTATTTTGTCTTGGATGTTAATAAGTAATTTCTGGGAAGGGATCAAGAGGTTACTTGCAGTCTGAAGTTCAAAAGGAGCCTAGTGATTTACTTTCATATTTGATCAGATATTTGTTTGAAAAATTTGGAAGGGAGCTTGAATTTAAATGATTTAATAATGGAAGTATTTAGTGATATGTTTATTGAAGTCTGTACTGCAAGTGGGACTAGTGATTAACCTTAATAGAATAATAAACATCAATATATAGGATCAGAACTGAGGCCTTTGTTTATCAATATTCCTAATTAAAGCCTACTAATGATGAAAAATTGCCCCCCAATTTAAATAGTTTTAATAGTTTTTTATTTAGCAATATTTTTTTTCTTATCCTCGCCTGAGGATATGCTTATTGATTTTTAGAGAGAGGGGAAGGGAAGGGGTGAAGGGAGAGGGAGAGGTTCAAACGTGCACCAGTTTACAGGGTAACACTCTAGTCCACTAAGCCACACCAGCCAAGGCTAGCAGTATTCTTACGTGTACAAACCACACATGTATCTGGGTCGGGCTGGGAAATGTCTTTCATCCTTCCAGATAGAGTTGATCATCTGCCCTGCAGTGTATGGACTTTGAATATATTTCTGCTGTTAATAGTTTTAGATAGCTATAGTTTAATATAATTTATGATAATTGTAAGTATAAGTTATTTGTAGCTATTCTTGCTATAATGTTTTATATTTTTACGTAATTTGAATAAGTTATGTATTTTAAGTAGTATTAACTTACATAGAAATTACTATTCATGTAATTTCTCAAATGAAATTATATACGGTGACATTAGTAATCTTTATCTGTGATTGTCATGAAAATTAGAATTGAGATCATTTTTTCTGTTGTAACAGTATTTGTCTTCTAAAAATCTTTCTAAAAATAGGAGTATTTTCGACATTGTGTGCTGTTCCCAAAAAGGAGGGATACCTTGGACTGTATAAAGGGAATGGTGCCATGATGATTCGAATCTTTCCCTATGGTGCCGTCCAGTTTATGGCATTTGAGCATTATAAAACGGTGAACTTTCATTTTGTTTTTTTGTCTTGTGTCCTTAACTATCATTCTTAGTTGACAAGGCATTTGCCTTGGCCTTTAAAATTACTTTGGATGAATGGGTAAAGTAATGTCTTTTTGAAGGAATTAGATCTGTGATAGTTTAAAATTTTAAATATAACTTAGAGTTAGAGTTATCTATTCCAGAGTTGTTAGTCATTTTTCAGTAAATTGTGTATATTCCCACTTAAGAAAAAGAGCCAAAGTACTCTTCAAGTAGATAATAATAAATCCATAAAGTATTAATAGCTCTTCAGTATTTTCGTGTTTCTCAATTGTAGGAGGGGAACATTGTGGCTTTGGATTTTCTTATTATATAAAATAGTGAAACCATATTGTAAAAAAAATCTATTTTTAAGTAACGATCTAAGTTAACAGCTTTTCCCATCTTGCTCATTGATCAAATTTCTCTTTTCTAGCTGAGTGAAAGTTTATCCTCTCAAACATGTTAACACAGAAAAGGGTTATGTATGTTAAGTTTCATAGGGTATCTTAAGATGCAAACTAAACAGTAGACATGGGAACAACATCGTAAGCTAGTCTGTCAGGTGGAACAGATGCCTTCGGTATGTGAAGACTTTATTGTCTGTAGAAGCATTTTATTCCTACTACTCCAATTTACACTTCATTTGTAATCATCAGCGTGTAGTGTATTTGGTGATCCTAAGCTAGACTGCATCTGTAAAAATACAGAATTAGAACAGAGGCCTGTAGGGAAAATATCTGACCTGTTCATGGCGTGATAGAACATGGTTCAGCTTCATATAATTGTAGTCATTTCACTCACATTTAATATTCCTCATTACTAGTTCTGTTACTCTTTTGAAATAAGTCTTCATTATTAAACAGTGAAATGGGTAGCATTTAAAAATATCTTATTTAATTTGATGTTTTTGGCTTCTAGTTGATTACTACAAAGCTGGGAATTTCTGGTCACGTGCACAGATTAATGGCTGGATCCTTAGCAGGTAAGAAGAATGGGTTTATTTTATTTCTGACATTTCTTTTCTATTAAAACACTTAATTTGGTTTAGGTGATATGTGTGATATTGATTAACAGGATACATTTGTTATCTTTCTTTATTCAACTATATAAGATATTGTTAGTATCCCGCCCTGGCTAGTGTGGCTCAGTGGGTTGAGTGCTGGCCTGCAAACCAAAGGTTGCCTATTTGATTCCCAGATTGGGGCACATGCCTAGGTTGTGGGGCAGATCCCCAGAAAGGAGCGCGCAAAGGCAACCACACATTGATGTTTCCCTCCCTCCCTTCCCCTCTCTAAAAATAAATTAAATCTTTTTTTAAAAGCAAGAAATTATTAATATCCCAACTCAAAAAAGAGTATTTTGAAGTGGGAGATGGTAAGGAATAATCTAAACTTACAACTATGTGAAAATTATGTCATTTCCTTTGACAGTTTACCTGAAAATGTTTATTTATTTATTTTTTAATTAAAAAAAATTAGGCCCTGACTGGTGTGGCCTAGTGGATTGAGTGCTGACTGATGAACCAGAGTCACTGGTTCAGTTCCCAGTCAGGGCACATGCCTGGGTTTCGGGCCAGGTCCCCAGTAGGAGCTGTGCAAGAGGCAACCACATGTTAATGTTTCTCTCCCTTTCTCCCTCCCTTCCCCTCTGTCCAAAATAAATGAATAAAATTTTTAACAAAAATTAAAAAAAATTATACTGACTATAGTAATACCTACTCCTATATAATGAAAATAGTATCACTCCCTTGAAACAATCACTGTTAGCAATGTCTTATGTATGCTTTTTTTCTAATGCTACTTTATAGGATAAGAACTTTTATTTTAGTTACCTCTGTATATATCAGTACATAGATCTTATTTTGTTAGAGAGTTGTAGTCTTTTTCTTTAGAGGTCAGACTTCTTGTCTTGCCTTGTCTTGTGTTTTACTGTGTTACATTCTAAGGTATGACTGTACCGTGGTTTATTTAATCAGTCCCCAGTTGATTGACATTTGGGATATTTTCAGTATTTGTTTCACAGAGAACATATACTTCTGTGACAATATCTATAGAACAGATTTTTGAGAAGAGAAATTACTTTATCTATGAAAGGATATATGTATTTAAAAACTTTCAAAGATTTTATTTATTTCTAGAAATGGGAAAGGAAGGAGAAAGAGAAGGAGAGAAACATCAATGTGTGGTTGCCTCTTGCACGTCCCCTACTGGGGGCCTGGCCTGCAACCCAGGTATGGGCCCTAGACTGGGAATTGAACCTGTGACCCTTTGGTTCATAAGCCCACACTCAATCTACTGAGCTACACCAGCCAGGGCTGTATTTAAATTTTGATAGGATTTGACAAGCTGATCTCCATAATCTTTTTAACAGCCTTTTCCCCTACATTCCTTACCAGCACTAGTTCTTACCAAATTTTTTTAGTATATTTTATTGATTATGCTATTTTAGTTGTCCCAGTTTTTCCCCCTTTGCCTGCCTCTGCCCAGTGCCCCCTTTCCCTCCAGCAGTTGCTCCTCTTAGTTTATGTCCATGGGTCGTGCATATAAGGTCTTGGCTTGTCCATTTCCTGTATATTCTTAACATCCCCGTCTGTTGTCTATTTTGTACCTACCAGTTATGCTTCTTAATCCTTGCATCTTTTCCCAATTCTCCCCTTTCCCCCCTCCCAGCTGACAACCCTCCAAATGATCTCCAGAGCTATGATTCTGTTCCTGTTCTGGTTGTTTGTTTAGTTTGTTTTTGTTTTTGTTTTTTAGGTTCAGTTGTTGATAGTTGTGAGTTTGTTGTCATTTTAATGTTCATAGTTTTGATCTTCTTTTTCTTAAATAAATCCCTTTAATAATGACTTAGGAATAATGAATTCCTTGACTTAACCTTGTCTGGGAAGCACTTTATCTGCCCTTCCATTCTAAATCATAGCTTTACTGGATAGAGTAATCTAGGTTGTAGGTTCTTGCTTTTTATAACTGAATATTTCTTGCCAGTTCTCTGGCCTGCAAAGTTTCTTTTGAGAAATTCAGCCGATAGTCTTATAGGAACTCCTTTGTAGGCTACTTTCTGCTTTTCTCTTGCTGCTTTTAAGATTCTCTCTATCTATAAACTTTGGCATTTTAAGTATGATGTGTCTTAGTGTGGTCCTCTTTGGGTCCATCTTGTTTGGGACTCTCTGCGCTTCCTGGATTTTTATGTCTTATTTTCTTCACCAGATTAGGGAAGTTTTCTTTTATTATTTTTTCAAATAGGTTTTCAATTTCTTGTTCTTCCTCTTCTCCTTCTGGCACCCTTAGATTTGGATGTTGATATGATTAAAGTTGTCCCATAGGTTCCTCAGCCTATCCTTGTTTTTTTTTGTTTGTGTGGGTTAATTTCTTTCTTTCTTTTTTTTTACTTATTTTTTGGATTCCTGTTTCTTCTTTTTGTTCTGGTTGAATGTTTATTTCTTCCTTTTGTTTGAAACCATTGATTTGAATCCCAACTTCCTTCCCTTCACTGTTGGTTTTCTGTATATATTTATTTATTTCACTTAGTGTATCTCTTGTTTCTTCTTTTATTTTGTGGCTCTACGCAATGAGTTCTCTGAGCATCCTGATAACCAGTGTTTTGAAATTTACATCTGATAGGTTAGCGATCTCCATTTCATTTAGTTCTTTTTCTGGGGTTTTGTTCTGTTCTTTCATTTAGGCCTTATTTCTTTGCCTCCTCAATTTGGTGGCCTCCCTGTGTTTGTTTCTGTGTATTAGGTAGAGCTGCTTTGACTCCCTGTCTTAGTAGTGGGGCCTATGTAGAAAATGCACCTGTAAATTATGTGGGGCAGAGCCTTAGGTAATTGCCAGGAGGGGGCAATTCCCTTCACAGCTTTGTGACTGTGTGTGTGTGTGGCAGGGGGAGGGGGCTTGGAGAGGGGTCAGTGCTCCTGCCTGGCTTCTGGAGGCCTGTTGGGCACTCGTCCTGCTTCCATTCGCCTCACCCACCATCAATATGTGGTTGGCGCCCTTCCAGCTGCTGTTCTGGTGTTTGTGTATGTTCTAAGCCCACATGGGCCCTTTAAGAAACGAAAAGCCAGCAGTTCTTCCACTGCCCCAACTACCACTGGTTTTTACAGCCAGAGGTAATGGAGTTTTATCTTCTGTTTGCTGGAACCCTGGGCTGTGTGGGCTGGTCTAGGGCTGGGATTCATTGTTCCCAAGGTATCCCTCCCATTTTTTTTTTAAAGATGTTATTTATTTATTTTAGAGAGTTGGGGAAGCGAGGGAGTGAAACATCAATGTATGGTTGCCTCTAGCACACCCTATACTGGGGATATGGCCTGTAACCTAGTCATGTGCCCTGACTGGGAATCAAACCGGCAATGCTTTGGTTCTCAGGCATGTGCTCAATCCACTGAGCTACACCAGCCAGGGTCCCTCCCGATTTTTATTCACCATATGTGAGTGTGAGACTGCCTGCTCCACCACTGATGCTGCTGTCTCCTGTGCTGCACCTTGTCTGGGCTCTACAACTCTGCCCAGCCTACCCATCTGGATGAATGTGGCTTCTTTAAATCCTTATTTGTCAGACTTCCATACAGCTCAGCTCCATTTTCTGATGGTTCTGGGTGTTACTTGGTTTTGAAATCTGGTTGTAATTCTTTCTATGCCAGGAGGCATGTCTACCTATGCCTCCATCTTGACCTGAAGTCCCCTTATCAATTTGTGTTTTTTAAGATTTTGTTTATTTACTTTCAGAGAGAGGGGAAGGGAGGGAGAAAGAGGGAGAAAAATATCGATCAGTTGTCTCTCATACACATTCATCTGGGGACCTGTCCTGCAACTCAGGCATGTGCCCTGACTAGGAATCAAACTGGCAACCTTTCCATTCGGAGGCTGGTGCCCAATACATTGAGCCACACCAGACAGGGCTCAAATTTTTATTTTTAATTTTAATTTTTTAAAAAAGATTTTATTGATAACCTCTGGCCAAGATGGAGGTATAGGTAGATACACTGTGCCTCCTTGCACAACAAAAAGAAGGACAACAACTTAAAAACAAAAACCAACCAGAACTGACAGAAAATCGAACTGTATGGAAGTCCGACAATCAAGGAGTTAAAGAAGACACGTTCACCCGGACCAGTGGGAGGGCAGAAACGGGCACTCTGAGAAGGCTCGCAGCAAGGTAGTGCCTGGCAGACCCAGTGAGGCAGCGGATTATGGAGTGGGCTGTGCAAAGCTGCAGCTGGCTGGCAGAGCAGCAGCGGGTGGACCTGGTGAGGCAGCAGCTTGTGGAGCTAGCAGTCCCACATTCACGTGTGGATAAACCAGGAGCAACAATTGGGGAGCGAGACAGACCTTGCAACCCAGGGCTCCAGTGTGGGGAAATAAAGCCTCAAACCACTGAAATTCCCAGCCTCACAGGAGAGTTTGTTGGAGAGACCTACAGGGTCCTAGAAGGTATGCAAACCCACCCATCCAGGAATCAGCACCAGAAGGGCCCACTTTGCTTGTGGGTAGCAGGGGAAGTCACTGAAAACTGACATAGAGCTGGGCAAGCACCATTGTTCCCTCTCAGACCCCTTCCCCACATACAGCATCACAACACAGCAATGTGGCTTGCCCTACCCTGGTGAACATCTAAGGCTCCGCCCCTTATTATGTAGCAGGTGTGCCAAGACAAAAAAAAAATGGCCCAAATGAAAGAAAAGATTAAAGCTCCAGAAAAATTATAACTAAGTGATGAAGAGATAGCCAGCCTATCAGGTGCACAGTTCAAAACACTGGTAATCAGGACGCTCACAAAATTGGTTGAATTTGGTTACAAATCAGATGAAAAAAATGAAGGTTACACTAAGTGAAATAAAGGAAAATGTACAAAGAACCAATAGTGATGGGAAGGAAACTGGGACTCAGATCAACGGTGTGGACCAGAAGGAAGAAAGAAACATCTAACCAGAAAAGAATGAAGAAACAAGAATTTTAAAAAATGAGGAGAGGCTCAGGAACCTCC